TGTGTGTGTGTGTGTGTGTGTGTGTGTGTGTGTGTGTGTGTGTGTGTTTTTGTGGGTGTGATAGCATGGCTGACTGACTGGCCCACTGAGGTTGGTAGAGATGAACGAAAGGTCAGGAGATGTCAGGCGGAGCTGATAAAAAAAACACACACACCACACAGAGTCTATCTCAACCCTGTGGCTGAATATGGATCAGAGATTCTGGCAGTGCTTATGAGCATGAAATCAAATGAGGCACTTTTATGATCGGGTCGGATCCTGTCTTGTGCAAATCATTCTTTGTGTTAACGGGAAGGTTTCCATAAATTGTTGGCAGCCTGAAGGAGGACATAAGAGGCCGTTTCCACAGTAACGGTGCTTTGATTTGCCAGATTGTGACAGTGTGTGGCTGAACAAATCTCCTAAATGATGTTTGTTCGAGGCCTTTACAGGATAGAGGTGTCAATAAGGAGCCAGCTGCAGACGCTGGAAATGACCACACTTCTTTAGTCATCATCTATTTACTGTGCTGATGAGAACAGCATAGGTGCAATACATTATTTTACTTTTTTTCCATCCCCACCTAGAGTCTATCCACTCTATTTCATCACACATATTTGAGTGTTGATTTGAGTGTACGTCTCTATAAAGTGGAGGACACAAGCCCAGCCTTGATTTTGAAAACATTCAGCGACAACCTTTTTTCCAGGACGACAAGACCTTTGATAACGATAGCTATAACATCAGCATAGAAGCCTACCATTTTTTTTTTAGAAATTAATAACAACAAAACAATCATTCACACATTGAAATTCCTAATTTGTAAAAGAGTATCCTCTTAACTGCCATAAATCGCTTTCTCGGATATGTATTTAGCTGTTTGACCTGTTGTACCACAGGTAGCATTAGCAGCATCTATTTCAGTAATGTTATGTCTCTGCCAATATGGTTGCCTAATGCTATGTTGCTGCCAGTATTGTAAGCTAACATTATGTCTCTGCCAGTATCTATTGTTGACTAATGTTGTGTTTCTGCCAATAAGCTAATGTCAAGTCTCTGCTAGTAATGTTAGCTTACCTAATATCTCTGCCATTATTTAATGTGAACTAGTTTTGTTTCTCTGCCAGTAATGCTTGCTAATGGATTGCCATTGCTAGTATTGTTAGCTTAAGTTATATCTCTGCCAAAACAGTTAGCTAATGTTAGGTTTCTGCCAGTATTATAAGCTAATGTTATATACTTGTCAATTGTGTTAGCTAATGTTAGGTTTCTGCCTCGATTTTTAGCTAACATTATGTCTTTGCCAGTATTTAATGTTAGTTAATGTTATGTTTCTGCCAGCATTATGTTTCTCTATTGTTAGCTATACAGGTTCTTGGATGGAACATTTTTATTAACGATTTACAAACTAAATGCAACCACACTTCCACTAAAATTAGACAAGAAGCAGCAACAAAACCACGGGGACCAACTACGAAAATGTTATTTTTTATCAAAGACCAGAAGATCAAAATCCGGAGCCAAAATGAACACTGGGCAAGATACGTATATGACTACAATTACCACAAAGAACGTTCAGAAATCACCAGGAGAGACAGACAATGGAGACAAATGAATGACCAAATAAATGAACAGATAGAGAAATGGATGAAGGGATTGGTGGATAGCCAAAGGAGAGAATGAGGAATATTTACACTCTAAATAACAGAGGCTCTGATAAGCCACATTGCTACAGTTTGCAATATTTCTAAAGATTGCAACATCTTTCTCTGCTCACAGAGGATGCCATTCTGATATTATGTAATGACGAATGCGAATAGCTTTCGAAAGCCAGTCCTCTGATCTCATCTCCAATTTAGAATTCATGTAACGCTAAAATAAAAGTGACCTGTTTAATAAAGCACTAAATGGGTGACAATACAAATGGGAAATGTCATGTGCCCACTACATTAACATCTGTGTCTGATATTGGCGTCATATAGGGAACATGGAACGATTCAGTGAATGAGACAAAGGTAAGATAGATAGACAGAATGTATGTGAATAAATAAATAGTTGGATTACTTTGTCATTCTTTGCTCGGCTTGATTTTGATTCCACACAAGGAATTCGGGATCGTACCTATCGAGGGGGGACAGGCAGAGAGAAACAAGAGAGAGGTATTTGTTGGCTGTCTGGCAACAAATTATTCAATAATAGTCATATAGTGATGAGTAGTAAATAGAAATCAATATGTAGCCACTAGACTCGTCTTTGTCTCTCAACATCTGGTTATCAGGCAATGGTGGAGAAGGTGGGCAGGGTGAAGGGCATGCACTTAGAGCAGGTGATGGGGAGATGGTGGATATGTTGGGTAAAGAGAGGGTCTTAGGATAAAAAATTAAATGAAAAAACGCCGAGTACCGCCTTGATCTGTCCATATTCACACACCAAAGTGTTTAGGTTATGGCTGGTGCTGCATAGTGGAGCATTTTCAAAATACTAAATTGCAGAGGTAATTATCAGAGTACTTTCAGGCAGCAAGCAGAAAATCTGATTTACTGTAGGTTTCAAACGATCAGGTTTACCTGCACAGGCCCTACTTGAACCTCCTTGTTAAACCTAGGGGAACACATCAAGTTATTACAAGGTTGGCCCGTTAGTCAACCCAGCTGTTGGATATAGATGACAAAATCCTTCATGTGTAATTTATTTTCCTTTGTGTGATTGAAAGTGATTGAAAGCTTTATCTCAGAAAAGCAGGATTTGTACCAGCAAAGCTAAATGGTGAGTAAATGACAAGCTTACCTGCTAAGCCTGTTATGTGATGGTTAAATTTAAACATACAAAATATCTAAATATATCATTTTAGCTACTTTTTCACACATTAACTGAGTGGTGGCAAATGATGAATAAATGGTTGCTCAACTGAAATTCATCTGTCATACACATTCATTCGACGATTTCTTCTTTTATCATAGATTTCTTCTTTATTATTTTTTTATCATTAAGTAAAATAATAGTTTTTATTTTTCTTGTTGTCAACAAATCCCAAGAAAAGACCAAAACCAACAATGAATTGATCCTATTAACAGGATTTCTTTTATAGCCAAAACCCGATAGGCCAATATCTTATTATCCTGTGCCATAGACCTCTTATGGGCTCTGTGGTTTATCTCAATCCAGCATACACCGTCCTGGTGCTGTCAATACCCACTAAATGTGGATAAATCCGCAGCTGAAAGTAGTCCCCAACATATCCACTAGTACCTTTGAGTAACATTGGCTGAAAACTAAAGTGGCCAGCTGTTTCAGGAAATAACTCAGCCTTTAAAAAAGAAAGAAAAAAACATATTAAATATGTCTTCAGTAGGAACAAATAGGCTTGGGGCTAAGGGGCCACAGGGAAGCCAGAAAGTATTTAGAGATGGACTAACATATTGTTGGTTTTGGTCTCTTTGTTTACACAAATATGAGATAATACATCATAGCTTGCAGCACAGCGAGCTTGTGAACAGTCAAATTTGACAACTGCAGGATCAGAGTGCCACTGTATATTTATAATCTCGGCGGACCCTCCCTTTAACGCAATGTGGACTCAAGTATAGCACCTACTTATTCATACAGTGCAAGCACTGACTGTGTGTTGTGAAGGTAAAGCACAATGCCATGCATCACAAGGCAGTCCTTTGAATGTAGCAGTGCAGATGTGTGGATGCTGGAAGCTAGACAACAATGATGCCGGAGCTCAAGGCGATGCGGGGTGCAATGTGCACAGAGAAAGAAACACTTGGACAATGGGTGGAGAAAAGAGCAATGGCAACAGAAGTCGCCAATCCCAGCTACACAGGAAGATGTGCATGTGCTTCCAAATGTTCAGCAAAAAGTGACTTCCTCATTAGAAATAGTACATTTAAACAAAAAAGATATATCTACATATCTTCTGCCTACACCTGACCCGAAATGTCACAAAGGGAGACACTCCAACTTTAATTAGGCCACTTCCATCTGTGACACTACGTCTGTGCAGTCATTAGTCCGAAAGATGAGGCTAAGAACGAAGAATCCAAGACACAATTGGAATAGTATTTCAAACTTGATTGTAATGATAAAAAAAACCAGCTGTTACGGTGGCTCTGTATGTCTCTCTCTTACTCTTGTCTTGTCGGTCTGTCACTGGCTCTCTCTCTCCCTCAGTTTAATGCATCCACGCTTGGACACAGAGCTCTCTTGGCCTGAATTCAGACTTCATGCACTTCCCTTATTAACTCTGTCTACCTACTGCACAGAATGTGATTGATTGTCACTGATGGAGCAGCACTCCACTCCTAATAGCAGGAGCAAACTTCTAAATTGGACCGAGAGGTGTGTGCAGGCATTGTTAGGGCAGCGTGAACGAGCCCGCCGACACCAAGCAAACTAGAGAGGACAGTGAAAGATGTGGCGTGATGTGTGCCTCATACTAAAGCCCAGATTCAACCAGCCTTTTACTGCACTGGACCGTCAGATCCTGACCAGTAAATTACCTGTTGAGGTGCTTCAAACTGTTTGGTGTCACTTGGAAACGTTGACACACTTATGAAGATTTCAATCAAACTCTTTTTTTTTTTTCACCGTTACAGCTTAATGTCTCCATGTTTTTGACATTATTTACACTCTCTTGCATAGTTATGTTTAATTTGGTGAATCTGGCCCCCAGTGAGTTCAGTGGAAAGGGAAAAGATAAAGCGGAACAAAGGGCTTCATCGACAAGCCAGAGCTGATTTGACATAAATATGTCTTGCTTCTCCTCACCTTGGGTCCTTCTGGATACTGTCCACTGACGGAGAGCGGCCCAAGGTGGCCTCGGGGGGCAGGGTGGGGCCCGATTTGCTGTAAGGCGACTCAGTGGACGGGCAGAACTGCAGAGTGCGGTACGGGTTGGAGAAGTCGGTCGCACCGCCTCCCGCGGCGAAGCTGCCTCTCTGAAAGGTGCCCGTGGCGCTCTGGCTTCCTGTTCGCTGCAAGGGGATTGGGTCGACACCGGGGGAGGGCGGGGCTAAAGCAGGGAGAGGAGAGTAGGGACAGAACAGATAGTTGAGGACCTCTTGGTACAATTGGTTCACCACTGGGTGTGATGTAGCGGAGGAAGGGGCGGGGTTGAAGGGGGAAGAAGAAAATCGGAACCGAACACGAGGATGCACGAACACAAGGACGCGGTGAGAATAAAAGCAACAAACACCGGCACCAATGGAACAAAACAGCAGAGAGGGAGGAAGCAAAAAATACAAAAATAATAAAACACTCATGCTTATAAACATGGAAAACTGCAGTGACAACTTACAACTCAACAGGTGGTGTAACGTCAGATGACAAGGTGAACTCATCGAATTATGTTATTTTTCAATGTAATCTTTTAAAAAACAGACAAAAGCAGTCAAATCAAACAAACATGCAAAATGAATAAATAAATACATAAATAAATAATCACAGGAAAAACTGTTGGTGATTAAAATTAAAAGAATTCCTCAAAATCACAGCCAGAATACCGGGTAAGTAAGTCTCAGGTCTTTGAACTCAAGTCCCAAGTCAAGACAAGGAAGTCCACGGCCCACATTCAGAGTTTCGATTCCTAAACATTCCTAAACTTCGCCAAATGTAATGCCATTTGGCGTCGCCGTAATTTTCGACTTGCATGTTTTGCAAACTGCAATTTCTTTTTTGCTGACTGACGCATAATTTCTGTACGGCAACAAAAAATGATCTTTAGTTCTTAATATTTCTGTCCTGCAACTTGGTTGGAGTTTGTTGGATTGGATCAAACAAAGTGGATCTTGGGAGTTAAGTGTGAAGGGAAATGAGTTGATTCATGGCACACTTTTTAAATAACACTTTTTAATACTTTTTAATCTTGGGGCTTGGGGGAAGGCATCAAGTATTCTCCAGTCAAAAGGCTCAAGTTACAAGTTACAAGTTATTGGTGTTGAAGTCCAAGTCGCGTTGCATGTCTAATGTCATCAAACGTGTGACTCAAGTCTGAATCGAGTCAAACATTTCATGTGTCACACTAAAGTCACGTGACCCAGTTCCACCTCTGAAGCATTTCTTTGAAGCTCTTATATCAGTATGTATTCTGCTTCAGCTGCTAATACCAACTTTATTTAATTGAATTACAAAAAACTCATTGACACACAGTGGGTTTGGTGTGACACCGGCTCGCTCTGAGGGAGGTTAGTTGGGTCAGTCTGTGTATGTGTGTGTGTGTGTGTGCATCTGTGTGTGTATAACTACATAACTGCAGGGGCCTTGACGAGGCCTGAGGAAGTCCACCTGTGATGTGAAGTCGGGTGTAAAGTGTTTGTCTGCTTGTTCCCAACTCTGTTCTTTATCTTGAAAACTTTCTGAATTGCCCTTGAAACACATAGTCAGGCTTCAACAGCTACTTTGTGTTGCACAGAAAAAAGAAGGAAGGAAACAGCATTTGACGATCAGAGTGCTGCTGTCGTGACTTACATTCACTGACACAAAGCCGGAGATGATGATTGAGTTATTTTGGCGCATCAAAGTGACCTACCAGTGTGTGTGTGTGTGTGTGTGTGTGTGTGTGTGTGTGTGTGTTTTAATTAATAAATTCAATCTCTCTCTTTTGGAACAACCTCGTGAAAAAAGTAGATTATATTTCATATCTCTGTGTGTATTTTCTCTTTTCAGCAACATACACCGTTCGGGCGACCGAAAACCGGCAGCACAGCGCCGACAACGTTTTGGGACACGGTCGATTTGCTTTGATTTCAAAGCGCCCAGGCTAACGCCCATGGGATTAATTGAGATTAATTTTCAGCCTTGAAACTAATTAGTTAACAGACTGTGACTGAGAGACAAATTGCCATTGAGACCCCAATTGGATTTGCCTACCTGATCGGGTAAATAGCGCTACATGATCAGATGGGACGAGGAAATCTCTCAGCCTTTAATGTAACAACATAGAACAACACTCATCTTTCTAAACCTTTTACTGTTCTACCTCTCAGTATGCTATACAGTATTCCTTTGAATCCATCACTTATTCAGTGTGTCATGTGACGTCTTCTTCTACTCTGACTAAATTTATAAGGTCCGGTGATTTACAGCACGCTGCAGTTATTTTTGATGTTGGACTATTTCAAGCTCTTTTTCATGTTTGTTAATACAGGTTCCTTCCCCTCTCCTGTTCCTTCTATCTCTTCTGTTCCACTTAATCTTTAGCTTCCCTTGAATGTTCCTTTCCATCAAATGTTTGCTTTCCGCTCAGACCCTCAGGCTCAGGCTCTCCAACGCCTCCTTTCTACTCCCTTGGCATTCTGGGACACAGTTTTGGGAGACTCTGTATTTGTACACAGTCCTTTACACCTTAAATAAATAACCCATGTCTTTATTTTCTTCAGCCGACCACGCCCCGACCCAGCTTACCTTGTCCTCTCAGGTTGGGCTTGGTGTAGACTCTGTCTTCGTAGATGGGGTCAATGTGGTGTTCGGGAGACTGCAGAGGTCGCAGCTCGGCACCCAGGTGAGTGTGCTGACTGCTGTAGGAGCCTCTGGAGCCTGGGGAGCACAGGCGATATGGAGGTTAGATGTACTGACGGATGAACGGATAGGTGGATGGATGATGGACGGATAACTTAGATTCTCTGGGGTTGGCAAGTTGATCACTGAGCCAAGCAAGTCAATATCGTCAGAGGAGAATATTCCTGCCAGGGGCCCCATCAAGTCCACAGGGCCCACTATAGAGCAGGGGTTTAATGCAAAGCTACTATGTGCATCTGTTTATACTGTGTGACAAAGTGACAAATGTGTAATAACACTTAAATAATACAGGCAATAGCTGTTGTCTCTTTTTAAAATAATCACTTTTAACCTGAGCAACTAAATAAAAGACTTTAAAATGACAGATTCACCTGTTGAAAAGACAAAAACAAAGCCAAACTCTGGCACTTTAAACTGTTTTTGTAAGGGTGCTCAGTGGAGACAATGAAACTTTTTCATTAATAATTCATCAGTGCATTTGCAATCCAATACATTTTAGATAAAATCTCAAGCCAATTTAATCAAATATTTGGTAATAACTTTTCTTTTGAATCCTTGTGCTCATGTTGATGATGAATACCAATTAGACATGAAAAGGAAAGTGAGTTTAAGTGACCTTAACTAACATGAACAAACATAACGGAACTGCCTCCCAAATGCCATGTTGGGCCCTGGAGACAACCCATCATAATGTCACGGACCCTATTGTATTAAAACAAATTTAAAAGCAATTCCAAGTTCAGGAATCCGATGAAAAAAAAGAAAAGTGACACAATCAATAAGTTTGTTTATTAGCTAACATGTGCACTTATGAAATGTTATTCTATAGCAGCTGACTGGGACCATCTACATATATATCAAATACATTTCACATAAACAATTCCCCCCCAAAATGTATATGTGATATTGCATATCTCTCAATCCACACAGTGGCTCAGTGGTAGAGCGGGTCGTTCTTCAATCAGAGGATTCCGGCTCCGCTAGTCCATGTCAATTTGTCCTAGGGCAAGACAGTTAAGCCCAAATTGCTCCCATAGGTGTGTGAATGTTGTATGTTGCAGGAGGCACCTTGCATGGTAGTCCCTGCACATGGGTGTGAATAGGTGAAGGATGACATGTAGTGTTGAAGCGCTTTGAGTGGTCAGAAGACTAGAAAAGTGCTTTACAAGTAAAGTCCATTTAATCGTTTACTATTAAAAAAGTAATAATGAAGTTGACTTGACCTCTACCCGCCAGGCTCCCAGGCCTTTGCAGGGTTGCGTTGGCGTACAGCTCGTGGGAAATCTTGTAGCTCTCTCCTCCGATGTGATGCAGCATGCGCTTGGGCGATAGGGTGGCGTAGCTGCCCACCACTGAGCTGAGCTGGTGGATGGGCGACGAGGTGTGGTTCCCCCCTGGGGAGGCTGCCATGGGGAGGGGGGAGGAAGAGCCAGCGGCGCCCGATGCTACCATGTTGATGGGCGATGAGGTGCTGCAGGGGGAGGGAATGGAACAGTTTCAGAACTACGGGTTTCCAGGGAGGCACTAATTAATGATTCTATTGAGCTGCATTATGGGAAATGTACAATCCAGCTTTTTTGGAGCTTGACCCATATTATCTGAAAGCCTTTGATTTTGACCATTCTTTTTTTAAATTTCTCTCTTGTATGTTTCTTTACTTTACCAAAGTGCAATGTTAACTTGCTGAAGTGCTTTTTGAACAAACAGTTGTCCCCTTTTGTTTTCCCCTTAAGAAGCTTTAAGGTTGTTAAATCATCTTCAGGAGCGAATATAGTCCAAAAAACAAACACTGACATCGGACAGCGGACGTGTTTCTCTCCACACTACTACGGTACATGGTGCACACGTACAGACTGTGGGGTCACAGGCAGATGAATAATAGATGAAGGAACTATAAATAGGACTTTATTCCACACTGACATCATCATATACATTCTATATCAGCGTGTTCCAGCTCTTTAGTAAAATATTCAAACCTGTCTTTATGGCTGCAAAACTCAAAAACATTTATTTTATACACGTTACCCCCAAATTCAGCCTGACACGCAATGTCAGACGTATGTCCAAGATAATTCAAAATAAAGTTCTGTCCGTTTTGATCGATATTCGATCGAAGCGAGCGAAGCAGCATGATCGAAGCGAGCGAAGCAGCATGAGCTTGTCACGACTGGACAAGCAGCAATCTGATACTTCCATATGGATTCAACACTGTCTGTCTTTTTTAATGTAAGAAGAAACCAGAAGAAGCCATTTTTATTGTCATATACATACACGAAATTTGCCTTCTGCATTTGACCCATCCCTGTATATAGGGAGCAGTGGGCTGCCAATGACAGGCACCCGGGGAGCGCGGGGTTCAGTGTCTAACTCAGGGACACTATGACACATCCCAGTCGAGGATCGAACCATTGACCCTGCGGTTACCAGACAACCCTCTTAACCCAGTGAGCCACGGTCGTCCCAATATGTAAATATTGTGCTTCAGGAGATTCATCAAAGATTTATTGGGTGTAGGTTGCGCACTAAACCCCCCCCATTCAATGCAACGAGCTCCGTCGACCAGTACGTTTAGTGCCTTTAATTGACTGACTTGAGGCAGACCCATTAGAGAAACGGCATTTTTCTGAAAGATTTCCAAGTTGCCGTGCAGTAATGTGTGAGCCCAACGCATTCAGTCAGGCACTAGAAAAGTGTAGAGGGACAGAAATCTGTTGGAATCTGACTATATGGCTTCGACATGTGCTGTGGAACAAAGAGTCAGGCCTTGTCTTTTGCAAGCAAAGGTTTCATCCTGATTGTAGTTTGAGCACCAAACCCCAACTCTGAAGAAATTCACATTAGGGTGTGAGTTTCCTCCGCCCAAAAAACTATATGTTCCTGAAGTTACCTGAAAGCAGCGCTGCAATCTAATTGGCCGAGGGCCAAGACACCCCAGGACCCCTGTGGTTCAGCCACCTTTCTACAAAACAACCAGCAACCCCCACCTCAACGTTTTTTCCCTTCGACCTCCGTCGAGCTAGGGAGCACACCAACGTTGTTTCCCTTTTTAACCAAAACCTAGGTTTAACAGTTTATATTCGCTGGCCGAATTCACCAAACTATCTATTTTATCTTTGTTTGTATCCACGAAGCCGCGCTTGCCTGAGCCCACCGAAGCTCAGAAGAACCCCTCAGAAGAACCCCCCTCAATCACCACGATTGCATCGTACCGTCAGGTGAAATAGATTCTGGGCAGAGTTAGAGAGTTTCATTTGTGTTTATTTTATCTTGTTTGTGTGCTTAAAGTACTATTCATTTTTATAACGTGGTATACGCTTTATGATCACCGACACTGGCGATCCCTGAAATTGCTAGTGTTGTGTAGAAGTTACCGTGTATTCTATGCTACCGTGATTTGTGTCGAGACAGCTGCAGTGAGGTCGAAGTTGCTTCTCATCAGTTCAGGAGGTCAGAACCGCCGGCTGAGACAAAGAGTCACGGTTCTTGCTCCCCTGGCTGAGAGAGCAATCTTCCGTACTCCAGCGCGACGCAGAGGATCTTAATCTCTTGTTTTATTTCATTTTGTTTTGTTCCTTTCCCTTCTCTTTTACTAACACACACACACACACACACACATATAGCTTTGAGCTAATGTAGCTACGTGCTAAACGGCTACCGGCACGTATAGATGCCGGGTCTCCTGTTGGCTATCCGCCATTTTGAGTCTCGCGCATGAGAGACGTCCCAACTACGTCATGCGTCGCTGAACTGTTCCCTTGCTCCTCCCCCTACGCACACACACACACGCACACACACACACACTACATGTACACATGCACTCCTCCCCCCCCCCCGCCTCTTTTCCATAGTCTGTTGATTTTAGATAGCGTGCTCATGAATGTATAGTTGTTGTTAGTTTAGATATTAGTTGACTAGATCATTAGTATTAGAACGTAATAAACTGTTATATTTTAAAGAGCAGCTGTCTGTGATTACTTTGTGCATGTGTATTGTGATAATAGCTGTATATGTGGTCTGTGCTCGAACTTAAACCTTCACTTTCACTCTGAATGTGTAATAGTACTCAGACTATTGACATTGTGAGTGAACACTAATTATGAGACTTAGTTTATCGTTTGGTTATTGGTCCCTGTTCGCAGGGTGGTGCCCCGTTATTATTAATAATCATTAATAATTGTTACTGACATTAATAATTCTATTGATGTCAATAATTTAGTTTCTTAGATGCTGATAACCCAAACACGCTCCTTTACGTTCCCAACAAATCTATACAGACTCCAGACTTGTATTCTAGGTCTTTGCTTTAACCGTTTTAACCGTGTTCACACTATATTCAGACAAACATTTCACAATACAGCTGTTGCAATGCTTGATGCAGCGCTACAAAAAATTGTTTCAGCCCACGGAGGCATGACGAAGTACGATGTACAACTACCTAAGTATTAGCACTAACCTGACTAATACAAACAGGGCATTGTTGTTGTGAGACAGACTGCTTTTCAAAGCCAGAAATCTCAGCACTGGGTGAAGTAATCGTTATTGATCAGTAGACACAGGCCTTTGTGCTTTGGGACCAGCAAAAGCCTCACAAGCTCATTAATGAGCCCCTTTTTAAATCAAGTGGCCGGGCGGACGTTTAACCAACCTGTAGGACCTGGCGAGTCGACCGGGCGACTGCTTGGGCGAGGACACCCTCTGTAGCGTGGCATAGCTGGGCATGTCGGAGGAGGCCGATCCCAGGCGCTGCAGCTTGGTAGGGGATCCCACCGCCTGCAGAGGGGAGCTCACGCGCTGCAACAGAGGAGTTGTGCTTCATTAAAAGAGGAACGTCACTCACTTTAAATATTCATCCACTCTTCTTGTTCGTATCATTCTTTTACAGAGAGATGAACTCCCCCGGAGCTGGATAAAACCGGAGAGGGGAGACTCTAATCTGCGATAAAATCCTGATGAAGAGGAGTCATCAGACCAAACATGAAGGGATGACTCCGATCTTTTTACAACCAAATGAACATGTAGTCTGGAGCGTGGTCAACATGTGCTGCAGAGAGGATGCTGAGGACTCAGAGGAATGGTGCAGGTGAATCTGTTTAGATTCATTCAAAGAAAAGATTTACACGGTGTTCTTCGAAACCTCTAAACTCGGAGTCTGGAATGAAGCGCAGTGCAGCGGGAGAAGCAATGAAATAGTAAATCATAGCCTAAGAGGGCAAAATATAAAACCGGTCTGGTGTCTGATCTCAGAAACCCATTCTACTAATTGCGGGAAAGATGCAGGATGAGCTATTTCTTCACTTGCTACCTAGAGAGCGGTAATGTCGAATAGATGAAGAGTCGGCACGGTTTGGCTACCACTGCAGTAAACACTGACGTACCATGTGTTTGTAGTAGTAAAAAGCATGCATCTGCCACCAGTTTAAGTCAGTGTGATCTTCTGCCAATCAAGACTATGTGTGAGGAAGAGTTCACTCTGTGAGATAAGCATGACATTATCTTACAGTATTTGTTAAGTGGTTTACAGATTCTTACATCTGCCAGCAAAGCACAAAAGAGTTAGCCATAACCGCTTTGCTGCAGTTTTTGTAGTCTGGGACTCGCATGTACTGTAAGATAATGATGGATCTAAATGACAAGTCTGGGAGACAAACGAAGAAAAAAGGTTTCTTAACGGAAACTGTTAGGCTAATAAATGGTAACTGTCCCCGGGTTCGAAAGGTGGCTCTGAAAATCTCGTAGCTTGCTTGTTTGCAGAGGAGGGCACCTGTCTGGTTAGATTCACCGCTCATGTTCTCAGAATTGTACATCATTTCATCCATTAAAGGGTTATGGAAAGTTAATAAAGCTTGCTCAGTCCCTGGCTGCACACAGTTTATTCAAGAAATGTATTTGTACAATTGATGCCTGTCCAAAAACCACAAAAGTTGTTTCACTCAATGTGAAGTAGATCAAAATTTGGCTGTCAAACCTTTAAAATGGATTCCAGGGGTGATCCAGCGTAACACATGTGCTACATATGTGTCAAACCACAACAGTATGCTTTAATAACAATACACTTTGTCCACTACTCCTTTGTAGCTCTGAATGTCAAACTTTACAGAGCCACCTTTCAAACCTTTCAAAATCTTCAGTAAAAATGTATAAGGAATAATAGCAATAAAACAGGCCCATAGTAACACTAAAACTCCTTGGTTCCACTTTGTTGTAGCACGGTGATGCGATGAGGAGTGAGGAGTGGAGAAAACATCCTCAAGACAACAGGAGCATCACAGTAATCTCTTCAGGGATTTCGTACCTGAGCAGGCAAAGTGGCGCAGGAGTAATACATGGGGGGTCCGGCAGGTGCAGATATGATGTCAGCGGGCATGTGGAAGGCGCTGCCATGGGCCAGCTGGGCAAACGAGTCTCTCTGGGACTGGGAGGCAGAGTCGGTTCCCGCAAAGTGGGCAGCCACACGGTTGGATGTCACCTGGAGAGGGCGAGAGAGATGAGAGAGGGGATGAAAAGAGGCAAGAGGTGGGGGGGGGGGGAGTGGTGGACAAAGAAAGTACGAAGGAATGTGTGTGAGAAGTGAGTAGAGCAGAAGACAGAGGCATGAAGAAGAGGAGAGAGGGTGAGTAGCCAGAAGAAGGAAATGAAGGAGGGAGGGAGATAACATTTTAAATGGACACAAAATAAACAAAGGAGAGAAGGTGTTAAGTAATTGTAAAAAGGTGTACCTGGTTGTAGCTGTGAACAGCCCCTCCGACCTGCCCGCATCGGCCCGAGGTCGGTTCCCCAAGCGCCATCCCTTGGTTACTATGGTAACCAGCTGCTGTATAGGCATCCTGGTGGTTGAGCTGCAAAGCGCTTTGGGACAGAAGTCCTTGTCCTGATGGAAGGAGAGAAGGACAAGGAAGGGAAAGGTTCATAAAGTATTAAAAGGACAAAGAGTGCCTGTGCACTGGAGAAATAATCCACAGCGAGACAACAAGCGTATCTTCTCTGTGACCTCAAGAGAGACGAGAGGAGCCGGGGTTCAGGGTGGGAGAGGTTTCACTTCTATCAAGCTGCTTTTATGTAACTTTTGATTCTGTAACAGTCCGTCTTTGTGTCAGGACTTATTCAGTTTGTGGCCTTGAAGGCGTTTTGTAACCCAGTTTACGTCCAATATGTTATACAATACATTTCTTTTTTTGATGACGGGAAGTGAATGAATGTGAGTACAACAGAGTTAACTGCCTCGGTTCGCAACAGACCTTGAAATGAAGAGAAGAGGAGAAGAAACAGTTGATGGAGAGATGAAATAGAATTGCCCTCTTTGAGACACCCATTTGCTTTTTACCCTCCGTGTATTTTTCAGCCTCTAGCCTCTCCACTCTCCTCCTCTCTTGCTCGGTGACCCTTGAATCTCACTCTGCACCTGAACTCCATTTTAAAAACTCACTCCTTCTCCGTCTACCTTTCTCACTCTCTCCGCCTCCATCACTTCCTCTATCGCTCTCCCATTACCGGATTTTCTCTTTCTCAACTCCATATTTTCTCTGCATAATTCAGAAGGAGGAGAATGAGGCCAATAGTACACAAGCTCTCTCATCGTCTGTATTAAAATAAAAACATTTCTCTTTTAAGAGCGTTATTTATGCCTTTACACGTAACTATAAATTGTTGTTTATTTAAAGACATTCATTTTATTTAAAAAATGTCAAACTATTCCTTTAAACCACCCATGTATCTTTACAGAACATTAAAGGTGTCTTTCTCTTTCTTTGAGCAGAGCAAATACCGATCCCTTACTCATTACACATCTTCTACACTTTATGTCATCTTTTGGGAAAATGAAAGTGTGAGAATCGCTGATTCACCGCTGTGTAACACCTTCCAGTGGAGCTGTTATTTTAGTACCACAACTCTTGCTCTGTTACTTCCACATTCATCCCAAATCAGAGATCCATCGGCCTGCACCTACGGTGAGCTGCACCAGCTGGTCAGCCATCACATCAGTCAGGCAGTCAATGGTAACGTCTCACTGAATGACTCAAATTAACTCTTTGTCTTATTTCACATGTCTTATTTGCCTCAGCCACCGTGTGAGAGTGGATGTCATCTCTTTTCTCTGGGTGCATTATGTCAGCTTGTAATAATGTAATGTCATAGTTGACACTGTTGATTGGCACCAAATATACACACATATACATCAACGGCTTTAATTACAGAAATAAAACTCATTTTTACCCAAAATGTTGCTGAAAACTTTACTGCACTATATCAGCTCCAGCTAGACCTAAAGTGCTGGCGCTCAGTATTCGTACTCTCAAAGTCCCTTTAATCTCCACTGATGTCACTTTTTTTTTTGTTGCGAGCAGTCTAAGAATGAAAGCGAGAGCGCCGCGCGAGACGAGCTGCAACTTTGCTTGTTTTTGTGATGGTTAAACCGGAGAAGAATGCGCAATCGTAGTGTGCTGGCGGTCAATATCAACAGCATGGCAGGGACAGAAGTCAGCAGCCACCGGCGAACGGAGTCACCGCCGATGAGCGCGTCGGAAAAACGAGGCTCGACCAAAGAGAAAACGTTGACTCAAAGTGCAGCGGATGGCTCCTGTAGGCAGTGTTGCTGGTGACTGTGCATTATTTACAAATGTGATATTAAGCTGGGTGTGTTTACTAGGTCAAGGCCTCCGTGTGCCATAGAGGCCCGTCTTGCGCGTGCAGAAACACGTGATGCAATGGAAGAATTTGTACTCCACGCCAGCTTCGGATGGATTCACACACTCGCGCACACAAACCCCGGCTGCGTGCACAAAGCCAGGGGATGTTTTCCGCAGGTTTTCTTTGCCACTTTAGGTGCGTTTCATGTGGGTAGCGGAGCCTTCAGGGAAGCGAAGGGGGCCTCATAAATACATTATCGCTCAGATGGCAAAAAAACCTGAAGGCTCCACTGAATCCATCTGAGGCAGAGAGAGGGAATGTGTGTGTGTGTGTGTGTGTGTGTGTGTGTGTGTGTGTGTGTGTGTGTGTGT